CTTTCCACTGTGTTTTGTAGTTCCTTGAATAAATTCCTCATTTCCAGGTGTTCGGTTTGATTTTTCTTTAATATTTCAATTCCTTAAGTGAATTTTACTTCTAAGTCCTGGATTTTTTTAGTGGTTTCTTTGTGTTGGTTATCCATTTTCTCTTGCATATCATTGAATTTTCTTACAATCCACGTTCAGAATTCTGTCATTTCAGTGTTCTGAATTTGGTTGATGTCTATTGCTAGAGAGCTGGTGTTCCCCTTTGGGGTTATACTTTCCATTTGATTCTTCATACTTCCAGAGTTCTTTCACTGATTTCTTCCCATACAGATCAGTTGTTGCTTTTTATCTTTAGATTTTCATTTGGATAATTACATGCCCTGTTTATTCTCTGAGCTAGTAGCTGGTATTTTTGGGTGAGATTCAACCACACTCTTTATGATGAGTTAGTAGATGCAGTAAAAGGGTGTGCAGAATGACCTCCCTGTCAGTAGGTGGTGCTTGCTGGGAGGAGCAGGCTGCAGTGTCGTTTTTGGGTTCTGTAACCAGCTCTTGTTCCTCTGGAGAGGCACTTTAGTGCCTCAGGTGGTGTGTGGGGCCCTGGGACTTCCAGGTGTTTCCTTATTCTCCACCTCAGTGGGGGCAGGTCGGGGAGTCTGGGCAGAGCTGGGGTGGGTGAGCCTGCCCTCAAGCTCCACAAATACTGTTAGCAGGGTTCAAAGGTCTGTTCTCTGCTTCTGGGCAAAGCTGCCAAGGAGGGGTTGAAATGGCCTCACTCAGCCAAAAAGTCTGCATGTGGGGGTGGGGCTGTCTGAGACCTGTAGTCTGGAGCAGGCCTCATTCCTTTCCACCCTTCCCTATTCCACAGTTTTTCTGGGCCTCTGCCAGGGAATAGGCAGGACCTCAAGCCAGAAGATATCCCCCTGGCTGAGATGCAGGCTGTGAGGTTCCCTGCCCAGGATCGCAGTCTGGGCTGGGCGCACGTCCTTCCTGTGGGAGAAGGGTTGCCCCTCAAGCATGCTGATCTGCCCCTGAAGGCACACACATCTCAGTAAGCTTGTTCACAAATGTCCCTTCTGTGCCCCGGGGCAATGCGATCGAGGCTTGGGTGTATGGAATATGGTCTGCAGGCCTGTCCCCTGGGCCCTGGAGATCAATCCCTGACCCTGCCAGGGAGAGGAGTGCTGGTCTCAAGTCACCCACAGGGTGCCCAAGCTGGATTGATGTCTCTCCACCTCTGGATTTGCCCCGCTCTTCTGGAGTCACTAGGCAAGCAGCCCCTGGGAGGGCTGGCAGGTAGGAAGCTCACTATCTGTGTACTCCTCAGTCTACAGTAGGGCCCCAAAAGGAAAGGTCCCATTCCCTGCAAATGCCTCAGGGTGGTGGCTAAATTGTTTCTCTCAGCAGCCTTGGGTAGGGCAGGGAAAGGGGAGAATGAAGCAGCATGGCACCTGCCAATCGGCTCAGGTCTGCAGGCCTGGGAGGTGCCCTGAGGGAGCTTGGGAGCCTGGTTCCCTGTCTGCAAGAGGCTCACTGCTCACTGGTGGTGGCTGTCTCTGGGCTGGTGTTGGCAGGTCTCTCCAATTGCTCAGGAGCCCACCAGCAGTCTGAGATGCAAGGGAGGGGAAATTTAACTGCTCCACCTATCCTTGTCATTGGTCTCCAAGCCTCTCAGGGGCCTTTCTCCTTCCAGTTCTCCTCCAGAACTTCTTCCCATGGAGTCTCCTGTTGTTTCAGGCATGCTTCCTTCCAACCCTTGTCCAATCTATGTTTGTCTGCCTGTTTATTTATTTTTTTGTTTACTTTCTTCTAAAATCTATCTTTCTTGCAGAGACACTCTGGCTGGTGGCTTTTCTCATCCACCATCTTGCCCCTCCCCCCAAATCTCCCCTCTTCTTAATAAATATATTATGCCTCTTAAAATAGTATCAGTTTGGATTCAATGTAAGATTTGAATGAAAAAAAAAGGCTTAGAAATTTTAAAAATGTTTTAAAATGTCACCCTACAATAGCTTATATTTAACATAAAGAAAATGTTTAACACATAAGAAAACCACTGAGCACTTGATTAATCTACCATTTGTTAAAATAGTAATAATATAATGAGAAAAACCCCAATCTAGCAGGTCCCCGTGTATACACTTATGTCTTAACAATTTCTTCCTTCTCTTTGACTCACCCACCCAATTTATGGGAATTCTCTGTGTATCCTCTATGGTTCAGAGAATTAATATAGTCCAAGATTTTCTTCCATGCTACATCTTGTTCATTTTCATTGTTCAAACTCTATCCTAGAATATAACTATTTTAATATCAAATCACTGCTTTAATTTGGTCTTCTACAATATAGGGATAAAAATCATTTTTAATGATATCAGTTGAATTATATAATCTCAGATCTATAGAACTTTATACTACTTTCTGGTATTCCACTCTCCTGCAAGCAAAGTCAATCATCAAAGATAGTTTCATGAAGAAGATAGAATATAAAATTGCCTTTAGTGACTCATTCTTTAAGTTAAGTATTATGTTCTCCAGGCCTTCTCTCACAATACAAACTCCTGGGCAGGCCAGCCTCATGAGCCTACCACCGTGTAGACACACCAAGAAGGTCTCCAAGTTTGGTTTAATGGTCTGATGCTGCCATCATGAATTTCTCAATTTTTGAACAAGGGACACACATTTTTATTTTCACTGGACATCACAGATTATGGAGCCAGTCTTGCCCCTCGGAGTGTAACACATTAAGTCATAGTATAAATTTTTTTATCAAATAACTTGTCTTAAAGTCAGTAAGGAATTACAAGGGCAATAAGAGGGGCACCAAATGTTTGTATTACAGAGATAATAGAAGGAAAGAAAACATAAAAGGAAAGCGGTGTGCACAAATTAGCTCATTTCATTATTCAAAGATTACTGAGTATCTACTATGTGCCATGTACTGTTCCAGATGCTGAGATTACAATAATGAGCAATACAGACAAAGACTAAAACTTCATGAAGCTTCCACTCTAGGGAGGAACCAGGTCTGTCTGTAGTAGGTGGGGTAGTGTTTTGGAAGAAGACTTAATATACATATTTTTAACTCTACTGTTGTTTCCTTTGGTAACCAGATAAATTAATAATAATTAAGAAAATGTAATTATTACAATTAATCTCTGATTACTAAGAGGCATTTTTTTGAAGGAAAATCTGCTCTCTGATAATCTTAGATTTTCCCTTTAGGATTTTTGGAAATTTCATAAATCAATGTCAGTCATCCTTTCTACTTTGGCATTTACAATACATAATTTCAAATAGACACTATAACTAGTATATTTAAAAAATGAGTGTCAGGGCTCATTCTGTGAGTAATTATGTAATGTTCCCTTCTTCTTTCCATTCTTTGCTCCTTCTTTTGTCTAAGTTAAATAGCATATAAACTGTACTCCCACCAAAGGAGTCCTTTTAGATAGAAGCATTGATTCTTTGGATCTGGCATTTTTGTCACTGGCTCTGAAAAAGAAAATAAAACTAGACAGGCAACCAAACAAAACAAAGCAATGATTATAATTAAGTATAGAACAATTCTACACAAGCATCCCTCAAAAAATAAGGACAAATGATCCTGGATTTTATATTATTATTCTTACTCTTATAGGAAATGTATGTGGGATGTCCCCTAGTACAGTGTCACCTAGCACATTGATGTAGGCAATCAATGGATATTTGTTGATTGAATGAATATATAAAGAAACGATAACTGGGCATATCAACAGTTTCTAATCAGATATTCTAAATGAATCTATGTCCCAGTGCTAGCACCAATACTTAAATATCATTTAGATGAAAAAAGTTTTTGTTGTTTCTTGATGTTTTTACCTAGAAAAGGAATAAAGTCTAAACACGAGTACTTTTCATCACCCTAATGTCCATTTACATTAGTTGTAGATGATAAAAATTAATTGTCTTTTAGAAACAAAGAAGAATTGTGGAAAGTAAGCATATTTTGTCAGCCTGAAGTATGGACCTCTATTTTTTAAGGCATAAAACCAATCCAGTTTGCATTATAATTTGGAACCACGAGAAGGCACAAAATTACAAGTGAATATCTTAAAGTACAAGAGTCAAAATGCTTCCTGATTGCAAAGGAAAAGCAAGTGTTAAATATTATTCAAAACCGAGTGTGTCTACTACCTTTTCGGCCTCTTTTCAAGACATATTATTCACCTAATGTAAGAATCTTCAATTAAAATTCAATCTGGTAACACGTCGGCAAAACAAATACAGCTACTTTGCAGCTCTGTGGATGTATGCTGACTCATAAAATAAAAGAGCTTGAAAGAATCTGAATGCTCTGATACATCAAAACTCTGGGATTTTTCCTTGTCTACACATGTACATTTAGTTAAGAAGAACTTGATAGCATATTTTTAACCTTAAAAGAAAGAATTTTACGGCTTTATATTTTCACATATAACTATATTCATGATGAAGAAATTCTACCAGATGATTTTCCAAAAAGTCACATTTGACTACAACTTTAATGTATCAGTTTTTGTTAGTGGAGGACACATTCCTTATATATCTTGTATTTGAACACTCTTAAATTATCTCTCAGTATATTTGCCTTAGAACTAAATAGTTTGTTTCTTTAAAAGTTCTGGAAATTGGTCTTACCTCTTTAGACATTTGTTGTTTAACTTTATAAATATAATTTTAGGCCCTGCAGAGGATTTATAGTTAATGGAAAACTGGTGTTATTTAACCTAGAAGCCTATGTCTCTCTTAGTCAATGCTATTAACTTTATTTGCACAATTTCTGTGAAATATCCTGTAAATCTAAATCAAAATAGAAGTAACAATGTTTCACAACCTGATATTTATTGAGCATTCAGAATATTAAAGTTTTGTGATTAGAAAACTTTTAAAAAATAATAATGTTCTTAACTAAAGACTATTCAGTTTGTCTGCTAAACTTTAATTATTTTAAATGTGAACATCTTTTGCATCATAAACATGCTTCTTACCTGTGCTGCTGGATATATTAACATCAATACTGATATCAGATATTCCTCCTCCCTTCAGAGATGCTACACATGTGTATGTCCCAAAATCCGTGAATTTTAAGTCAATGATGTCCAAGTTTGTCGTTCCCGGGGAGACATCAGGATCAGTCTGTGTAATAACCATCCTCTCAGAACTTCTTAATGGACGACCATTTTTAAACCAACTAAATGTTAGCTCCTCAGAAGGAACAGCTTCTACTTGGCAAGATATTTTCACCTCACGCCCAATCTGGATGTTGTCATCTTTGTGATAAGGATCTGGCGTGATCCAAAATCGTCCCTTTTTTAATGCTAAAACATAAAAATTCCATAAGTAGTTAGTGTTACTTTCCTAATTTTAGGGATTCATTCACTCTAGATAATCATCTCTAGGCTGAAATAAAGTAAAACAAAAATAAAATAAAGTGCACATGTTTCTTTGTTATATCTAGGTAGTGTGCATACCAATAAACCTTGTTGAAGTAATCCAGAAAAATCTAAAAACCTAAGTCACTTAAACTCTCTAAACACTGATTTTTATAAATTGCATAATGTTTTCCAGTGACATAAAAAACAATGCTTTAAGTCTATATACAATTATACTGAGACATTGTTGCCATTTAATTTTGAGCAAATGATGAAACCTTTTTATATGAAGTCATAGAGTATTAAAATTAAAAGTAATAATATGGATCATTTAGTCTAACTCCTTCCCTATATCACCCCTTAGTTATTGCATAATTTTCCAAACAACTCAAATATTGCACAAATGTCATATTAAAGAAAATTCTTCTAAGGTTGTATCTACATGCTGGCAAAACTAGTTTAGTTAAGATCTGATTCAGTTCACATGCATGAGGCATTCTCATACATTGAAATAATCTGAATTGAAAAAAAAGGCAAAAAAATTTCAAAACATTTCTATGAACTTCTCTGTTCTACCATATGTAGACATTTCCAGTTAAACACTTTTACTGGCTCTCTCATGTAGATAACCAAGAGAACCTTTTGGCAGATGGCTTGGTAAACATGCCATGTTTGTATCTGAACAGCAGTGTTTTCTAGGTCTGCAGTCACTGCTGTTCTCACAATCTGGGTCAGTAGTACTGACTACCAGAAGGCTGCTGGAGGAGCATCTATAGGCTTTCTAAGGACCTGAACTCTGAATGACACCACGGGGCTCAATATGAAATAGAATTTTCTCTCTTTTATGACATGGATTCACTTATGCACACATTTTTGCTTTTTCCAATATCTTCCCCATTTCCTTCTTCCATAACATAACTATCCCTATATAATGAAATGTAGCACATGCAGTGAAATACAATTATCAGAATAAAATATTGGTCATTCACTTTTACCATTAAACCTAACTACAATGATACTGTGAAAAATGTCATGAATTTAGTGGACCTGCAGACACTAGAGCCCTTCTAATTGCATTCTGAATAACCACTCCAAAATTGAACCAAATTTTTTTCCATTAGTCCAACAAAGGCCAGGAAGCACCATGAAAATGTATAGAACTGTGCAGAATAAACTAGACATGAACACATTTTTAAATCTTAAAAGGTAAAGAGTAAAGAAAATCTAAATTTCTTTACTCTTTACCTCGAAATATTTCCATCTGCTTTCTTGTCTGCCTCTTGGTGAGGGGAGGTAAATGAATATTAAAAACAATGTTTGTTTTTTTTTATTCAAGACATATTTCTAGGGCTCTTCCTTAGGACTAGGCACTTGGCTAGACCCTGATTACATGAGATGAACAAAATAGACATAACCATGGCCCTCATGTATTGCAGCTTCTGTATACAAAGATTACAGCCCAATTTATTCACAAAGCACTTATAATACCTATGTCTAGAGAAATCATATACTACATAAGTACGAAATGTTTTATATGCTTTAAGAAGTTTGAATCTCAGAGGACAACCCCTCAAACTATTGTTTAGAAAATGCACTAAGCTTCAGTCTCAAAAAAACACCAGAGACAAATATTTATATCACATTCTCATATTGTCGTTCATTACATTTTTCTATAATAAAATGCAACTTATGAATCTTATATATCTCTAACCATATCTTTATCAGTAGGTTACTCCAGGATGAAATTAGGATAAATTATGGTATTCTATTACTTAGCATCATATATTTATATTTTTGTAAGCACTGAAGTATGGCTTCACATTTTATTTAGAAAGGAAATGTGATGAAAATGTCTATATCTGGCCACCATATTTGGTATATAATTTTGTGCACATGCAATTCAAATGTAATT